AGTTATGATTCATCAAAGCACTTCCGGGTCCAGTTGCGAAACCTATGCATCTATTTAGACAAAACTGTAAACAAATTGTACGGAGTGGCAAGTGGACAACACGGCCTCTTTATTTTCCAGTGGTGTGAGTTACGACAATGTTACTATTCGAAGTTATCGCTACGATAATACAGTTATATCGCAGGGAAATAATTAATATCGGATTATCTCTATCCTTGCAGGTGATTAGCCCCCCCCCCCCCGCCTCCCTCCCCTCCCCCCTGTCTCAACGCCTCGTAAAGGGTCAACTCTTTACTTCTATAATAACCAGAACTTGAAATACAAAAACATCGCTTATATATATGTGATACAAAATTAAATAGTTGTGAACCTTTGCAATTTACGACCTACAGCCAGAAAAGTCGGGGACCCAGGATCTGAAGCTCAACCCTGCACCCTTTAAATAAGGGTGTACAAACAAGCGTGTGAACGTGCACACTACAACAGGGTTCCTTGTGGCAGAAATCTGAACATAATTGAACGTGCACTTACAAGTTTTCTCTTCCTTGGGAACTTTGAGAGAACTTGCACGGTGTTCAGTGTTTGAACAACAACAACAACTGTATTATTCATCTATTGGTTGTGAGTCATACACTGTATAATTCATCTAATGGTTGTGAGTGAGTGTAGCCTCGTCATGTAGGTCCGTGCCACTGGGGCAGGTATTCCCACACCTGACTAGATATAAGAGTCTGGGAAAGGAATTAAGCCAAGCAAACGTCACTAAGTGTAACTGAGGAGAAGGTAAGCAGCGAGTGAACATTTTTAAGGAAACGAGGAGAGATGTCGACAGTATGCGACACGACTTGGTCACCTGGCTTAATACGTCACTTGAGTTGTGACGGTCGGAAGAGAAGGACGAACGTCGTTGCCCCTGAAGAAGGATAGTTGTGGCTTATGGAGAAGAACTTATGAGAAGCTGCGTGAGTAATGTGTGAGGTGGCTGTTGGAAGATCATTTGGGCAGGTGTTCCTGATTGGCACCTGTACCGTGACCCCTCACACTCAAGTCAGGACTGGAAGGAGTCGATTAGTAGCAGTCCAAGAGAAATTTGTGGGTGACCTGTCAGTGCGTCGTGGACAAGCATCGTCACGTCATCCTTGTGAGGTAAGAACCTGATATATTGTCGTGTATTGCTTGTTGCAGCAAAGATCGTGTGTCTGGCGATCGTGTAGAGCGTTTGTGAATGTAGATTGGGAAGTTTGTGGAAATAATGAGATGAAAAAATGAGTTTGAAGTGAGTTGCATTGTGAGGGCGGGAGCGACATATGCTCACCCCGTCGGGGTCAGTGGACGACTGAGGGGAGGGAGCCCTGGCAGAAGATTTTTGGTGTGGACTCGCCCAAGCAGGGGAGGACCCCTGCAGTACAGACCTGTGAGTGGAGTAGGACATTGTAAGGTGAAACATATTTTGTAAATATTTTTTATGTTTTGATGGAAGATATGTTATTATTTTGTAGTAATGGAATTACAAGTTCATGTGTGATGGACGTGCTACGTCCAGAGTTGATGTAGTAGTGGTGCATGGTGGACACGAGTTGTCATTAGTGGATGTAGCAGCGATATAGAAGCTGCAGGAAGATCTAGTTAATTTGAGGACCCACTGGTGGATGGTGCCAGTAGTGATGGCCAGGAAGATCAGTCTTGTGGTCAGCAAGACTGTCTGGCTACACAACAAGTCAGTCAGGAAGACTTGTTGTGTAGCCAGAGTGGCTCCTCTTCCGGGTGAGATACAGAGGGTTGTGAGGGCAACATTATATGTTTGAGAGGTGGATGGAGTCATGTAGTACGCCTGACGCAGTGCACGGTGAGAGTGTTGGTATTTTTTGCTTGTGTTAAACTACATGCATGAAGCCTGGCCCAGACGGCGAGGTGACTGATGGACAGCGGGTTGCTGGAGAAGATCAAGCCTGGCAGAGACAACTTGTTGGAGCACTGATATTATACAAGCGTGATGCTAGTTTATAGCACCATTACTTGATGATACCATACTATCATTTTTATTTATTATTGTCTGTAATAAATGTTCGTCAGACAACCGTGTTTGCCCTTATGAGGATTTATAAGAGGAAAGAGAGAGAGAGAAATAATTGCAGGCCGGACGCCAGCACACAGGAAACAAGAAGTGGAACTAGAAATATGTCTTTCTGAGACTAGGAGAGTGAGGGTAAGTCACGGTGGCTCAGTTACGGTGTGGACACGTGATAACGGGACAGTTATGAACCCAATCCCCAATAATATGACGTTGAGCCTCGTCTCCACATTTAAGTCCATTATCAGGTGACTCTCCAGTGTGGGCTCCGCTAGGGTTAGCAGTAGAGGTTGTGGATATATTTATTTTGTCAGCGACTCCCTTGACGAGGTGAAATTAAGCGCAGGGTAAAACTGGGCGACACCTGAGAGATACTTAAAGAGACCCCCTGATAGTCATACACTATGTATTATTCATCTAATGGTTGTGGTCATACACTGTATTAATCATCTAATTTTTGGTGGTCATACACTATTATTCATTTAACGGTTATGGGTCATACAACGTGTATTTAACAACATTTAAAGTTTGTGGGTCATACACTGTATATAACTCATCGTATAGGTGTGGTCATGCTCCTCAGAGTGTTCACATATGAATGTATATCCCCCCCCCCCATCTCCAGAGAACTGGGTTCCCGGTTCTGCGAGGGAGCGCGGAGGAAGCGAGAAGGACCGCGTGAACCAGCGAACCAGTCCTCGTCAGGTCCATTATACACCAGCAACTTAAGTGTTGACTGTGATAACAGGTAAGCGAGTCTAAATTACAGTCAATTAAAGCAAGTCTTGTACTGTATCCTGAGTGAACATTACATATTCAGCAATGTTTATTTTTTTGTTGTTTGGCCTTTATACACTCGCTTAAATTGTATCCGGGAGCCTTACAGCACTTAAGTGACTGATAGTGTTCACAATCCCTCCCACAATCCCCTATTTTCTCACTATTATTCGTTCACAGTGTGTCAAGCATCTGAATAGCTTCTATTTTCCGAGAGGAAACGATATTTTATGGTAATTTTCGTTTCCCCTCGGGCGATACATAAGGGTGTCAAATTATAGGTTTTATTTTTTTTCATTTCAGAAAAGGAACAAATTTCTTTTGTGAACATGGTGAACATCCGTGTTCATTTTTGTTACATATTTGTAAGAAATGCTTGTCAGGAAAATGAATACTTATGTCTGTGAATGACATGACCCCCTGGGGTAATGTGTGACCATGACCCCTGGGGTAATGTGTGGTCATGACCCCTGGGGTAATAAGTGCCCGTGACCCCAGGGGTAATGTGTGGTCATGACCCCTGGGGTAATGTGTGGCCATGACCCCTGGGGTAATGTGTGGCCATGACCCCTGGGGTAATGTGTGGTCATGACCCCTGGGGTAATGTGTGGCCATGACCCCTGGGGTAATGTGTGGTCATGACCCCTGGGGTAATAAGTGCCCGTGACCCCAGGGGTAATATGTGCTCATGACCCCTGGGGTAATGTGTGGCCATGACCCCTGGGGTAATGTGTGGCCATGACCCCTGGGGTAATGTGTGGTCATGACCCCTGGCGTAATGTGTGGCCATGACCCCTGGGGTAATGTGTGGCCATGACCCCTGGGGTAATGTGTGGCCATGACCCCTGGGGTAATGTGTGGTCATGACCCCTGGGGTAATGTGTGACCATGACCCCTGGGGTAATGTGTGGCCATGACCCCTGGGGTAATGTGTGGCCATGACCCCTGGGGTAATGTGTGGCCATGACCCCTGGGGTAATGTGTGGCCATGACCCCTGGGGTAATGTGTGACCATGACCCCTGGGGTAATGTGTGGCCATGACCCCAGGGGTAATGTGTGGCCATGACCCCAGGGGTAATGTGTGGCCATGACCCCAGGGGTAATGTGTGGCCATGACCCCAGGGGTAATGACCTCGACCTCCAGGAACATCGCCAAGGTTCCTACAGGCAGTTTACCTTCCTCAAGACACACTCCACAACAGTAGCCTATCAGAGTCCTTTCTACTACTAGGTGAACAGAGGCATGAGGTGGAAAGGGAACATATCCCGGAACCTTGCGGTTGTGGACCGGCGCCAAGCTGCCAGATGTTCCTGGTGGTGTTCCGGGCCCCGGCGGAGCCTGCTCTACAACCCGTCTTCACAACCATTGAACCTCGGTTGTGATGCGCCACAATTTCGGTGCTTTAGTGAAAGTATGAGTACTGTGACGATGATGCTTCCTGTGAGTACTGTGACGATGATGCTTCCTGTGAGTACTGTGACGATGATGCTTCCTGTGAGTACTGTGACGATGACGTTTCCTGTGAGTACTGTGACGATGACGCTTCCTGTGAGTACTGTGACGATGACGCTTCCTGTGAGTACTGTGACGATGACGCTTCCTGTGAGTACTGTGACGATGACGCTTCCTGTGAGTACTGTGACGATGACGCTTCCTGTGAGTACTGTGACGATGACGCTTCCAGTGAGTACTGTGGCGATGACGCTTCCAGTGAGTACTGTGGCGATGACGCTTCCAGTGAGTACTGTGACGATGACGCTTCCTGTGAGCACTGTGACGATGACGCTTCCTGTGAGTACTGTGACGATGACGCTTCCTGTGAGTACTGTGACGATGACGCTTCCTGTGAGTACTGTGCATCGTGGCAGGTTGCTCTATATCGTTCGCTCCTGGTTCAGCAAACCTACTTGTGATATAACGTATATCAATCCCAGGTCACCATATAAGGTAGCACCTGTATAAGGGGGAACACGGACTCAGGGGAAAGCTATATAAAGGTATAGGACACTAAAGACCCTGGTGAAGGGGGGGAGGGGGGAGGGGGTAAGCTATAGTAGTTTAAAGGTACGTGTTGAATACAGGTAATTTTAAATACCAAAGTGACGGTAATTTGATGAATTTAGAACAAGGTAATTTTGCATTTAATGAGGTTATTGGACCCAGTTGTTGTCTGGGGTTGCTTTCTCAATTGTTGCAAAAAGCTCGCTTTGTTGCTTGCTTTGTTGCTTGCTTTGTTGCTTGCTTTGTTGCTTGCTTTGTTGCTTGCTTTGTTGCTTGCTATGTTGCTTGCTTTGTTGCTTGCTTTGTTGCTTGCTTTGTTGCTTGCTTTGTTGCTTGCTTTGTTGCTTGCTTTGTTGCTTGCTTTGTTGCTTGCTTTGTTGCTCGCTTTGTTGCTTGCTTTGTTGCTTGCTTTGTTGCTTGCTTTGTTGCTTGCTTTGTTGCTTGCTTTGTTGCTTGCTTTGTTGCTTGCTTTGTTGCTTGCTTTGTTGCTTGCTTTGTTGCTTGCTTTGTTGCTTGCTTTGTTGCTTGCTATGTTGCTTGCTTTGTTGCTTGCTTTGTTGCTTGCTTTGTTGCTTGCTATGTTGCTTGCTTTGTTGCTTGCTTTGTTGCTTGCTTTGTTGCTTGCTTTGTTGCTTGCTTTGTTGCTTGCTATGTTGCTTGCTTTGTTGCTTGCTTTGTTGCTTGCTTTGTTGCTTGCTTTGTTGCTTGCTATGTTGCTCGCTTTGTTGCTTGCTTTGTTGCTTGCTTTGTTGCTTGCTATGTTGCTTGCTTTGTTGCTTGCTATGTTGCTCGCTTTGTTGCTCGCTTTGTTGCTTGCTATGTTGCTTGCTTTGTTGCTCGCTTTGTTGCTTGCTATGTTGCTTGCTATGTTGCTCGCTTTGTTGCTCGCTTTGTTGCTCGCTTTGTTGCTTGCTTTGTTGCTTGCTTTGTTGCTTGCTATGTTGCTTGCTTTGTTGCTCGCTTTGTTGCTTGCTTTGTTGCTTGCTTTGTTGCTCGCTTTGTTGCTTGCTTTGTTGCTTGCTATGTTGCTTGCTTTGTTGCTTGCTATGTTGCTTGTTTTGTTGCTTGCTTTGTTGCTTGCTTTGTTGCTTGCTTTGTTGCTTGCTTTGTTGCTTGCTTTTTCTTGCCACATTTGTGTTGTAGTAATAATGACAAATTATACTGATGTTGCTATATATATATATATATATATATATATATATATATATATATATATATATATATATATATATATATATATATATATATATATATATATATAATATATATATATATATATATATATATATATATATATATATATATATATATATATATATATATATATATAAATCACACGCTATCCTAAATATGTTACGATTCCATTTCAGTGTTTCCAATTTCATTGACAAATAGAATTTTCATAGATTTCAATTTATTTTCATTTTGGTTTAATTATTTTGTGTGACATTGCGTTGGATTTGAGCCGTGTTGTCCACCATACCGTTCATTTCGTGAGTATAGTTTACTTTTGTTTTCTTTCGTTTTTTAACTGTTTTTCATATATTTTAGTGATGGGAACATCAGATCATTTGATGTTCCCAATTTACTGATGGGAACATCAGATCCTTTTGGAATGCATCGGACGAGGGAGTGGGGAATGGTGGGGAGGACGAGGGGACGGGGATGGTCTGTCTTCCAGCGACGTGACGTGCAGTTCACGTAGTCTGTCCTCGTAACTCATGCCTCTTAGTTCTGGGACTAGCCTAGTGGCATACCTCTGAACTTTTTCCAGCTTCGTCTTGTGCTTGACTAGATACGGGCTCCATGCTGGAGCTGCATACTCCAGGATTGGCCTTACATATGTGGTATACAAGATTCTGAAGGATTCCTTGCACAAGTTTCTGAAAGCAGTTCTGATGTTAGCCAGCCTCGCATAGGCCGCTGATGTCATTCTTTTGATGTGGGCTTCGGGAGACAGGTTTGGGGTGATATCAACTCCTAGATCTTTCTCTCTGTCCGTTTCGTGAAGGACGTCATCTCCCATTCGGTATCCAGTGTCTAGCCTCCTAGTTCCTCCCCCTTGTTTCATTACCATACATTTACTTGGGTTTACCTTTAGTAGCAGTTTGTCGGACCATTCCTTCAGTTTGTCTAGGCCATCTTGTAGCCTCATACTATCCTCCTCTGTCTTGATCCTCCTCATAATTTTTGCATCATCAGCAAACATCGAGGGGAACGAGTCAATTCCTTCTGGGAGATTATTTACGTATATCATAAACAGTATAGGTCCAAGGGCTGATCCATGTGGGACTCCACTGGTGACTCCCCGCTACTCCGAGACCTCACCCCTCACGGTGACTCGCTGTGTCCTGTTGCTTAGGTACTCTCTTATTCAGTGGAATACCTTCCCTTTCACTCCTGCCTGTATTTCCAGTTTGTGCACTAGTCTCTTATGTGGTACTGTGTCAAAAGCTTTCTGACAGTCCAGTAGTATGCAGTCTGCCCAGCCCTCTCTCTGTCTTGCCTGATTTTTGTTGCCTGGTCATAGAACTCAATTAATCATGTTAGGCATGATTTGCCATCTCTGAACCCATGCTGATGTTACAAAGTTCTTCCGCTCCAGATGTCCCTCTAGCTTTTTTCGCACAATCTTTTCCACAGCACAATTTGTGTGTGTGAGCTACACTTTTTAACTGATGGGTTTCGCTAGGGTACAACTTAGTATCCTCGGAAGAAGATCGAAAGCAAATAAAAAATAAAATACAAAGAATGGCGATATATTTTCGTAAGGTGTGATGAGAGAAGAAGTGGCAACCCTGTCTAGAGAACCAGGTAATCTGGTCCTGCATTTTAATTGGTCGACAGGAGCAGTGGGCGTGGTGTAAGATATCAGTTCTTTCTTAGTCTTTCAGGTTGTTTATCTTCGTTGATTACGTGTGTGTTTGTCTGGGTTTCTCTGGTGATGGTCTGGTTGTGTGGGGAAATGATGTGATCTTAAATAAAAGCTAGTTGTTTGTGTATAGTCAGGCGCCTTGAAAGATCTGTTGCCATGCACGATGGAATCTTAAGAACGTGATGTATTCTACGTAAGAATCAAAGTTAGACAATGGTATCGAACCCGCACCCCCGGACTCTTTGAGATGTTGTCGCCCAGCCAATACCAGATGATTGAGGCTGAGAGTCGTCAAGTGGACATGCAGAGGCATAGACGGCATTCATCACCCTCGAGGTGTTCCTTGTGTTGCTGGGGGGTGAGTTAGTAAAGCAGGTGTTCCTTGTGTTGCTGGGGGGTGAGTTAGTAAGGCAGGTGTTCCTTGTGTTGCTGGGGGGTGAGTTAGTAAGGCAGGTGGTGGTCCCCTGACTCTCCACTCCTATATTGAGCTGTGTCCTCTGTTTAGTGTTGATCACGTTTCTGTTCATTGTCTTGCTGGACTGTTTAATTCGTCTAGTGGACCGCTGAAGTCTTTGTAGTTCATGTTGTCAAGGATAGAGGGTTAAGGATATATCTATCTATCTATATATCTATATATATATATATATATATATATATATATATATATATATATATATATATATATATATATATATATATAGAGGTGCGGGGGTTGTGTAGTGATGTTCACTACGTAGGTCGTGTAGCCAGATCACCTTCATATTGATGACCTCTTCCACGTGTTGTTTCATTTTAGATCTCATTCTAGAATATGTTAAGAGCATATGTTGAAGACTTCATAATATGCCCGAAACGCCGCAGATGGGGGACATATACCCATGAGCTGTCAACATCATCTACGATGTCGTTTCTGTGGAAAATCTCACCTATCTAACCCGACCACGATTCGAACCCATGACGTCTAGGATCACCCCTCAAACATACACAGTACCGTGACCACCGCACCATTGATCGTATAATATATAAATATATATGTCGTACCTAGTAGCCAGAACGCACTTCTCAGCCTACAATGCAAGGCCCGATTTGCCTAATAAGCCAAGTTTTCCTGAATTAATATATTTTCTCTTAATTTTTTTCTTATGAAATGATAAAGCTAACCATTTCATTATGTATGAGGTCAATTTTTTTTTATTGGAGTTAAAAGTAACGTAGATATATGAACGAACCTAACCAACCCTACCTAACCTATCCTAACCTATCTTTATAGGTTAGGTTAGGTTAGGTAGCCGAAAAAGTTAGGTTAGGTTAGGTAGGTTAGGTAGTCGAAAAACAATTAATTCATGAAAACGTGGCTTATTAGGCAAATTGGGCCTTGAATACTAGGCTGAGAAGTGCGTTCTGGCTACTAGGTACGACATATATATATATATATATATATATATATATATATATATATATATATATATATATATATATATATATATATATATATATATATATATCAATTAGGAGTTTTCCAATTACTTATGGTTTCCAGATCAGAATGTAGCCATGACTGTCGGCATCTATGGTAGAGAGACGGTATTCATTTAGGGAGGAAGTGAGAAGGGTCCATGATTGATGGGTATCACCACATTCCAACCCTAATTAATCTGTGCTTCCTTCTTGGCACGGCATTGATTGACGGTTTGTTATGTCTGTGCCGTGTTGAGGGACGCGTCATCTGGCACAGAGGGTCAAGTACAACCTGAAGACACAGAAAATAGGACAAATTTTCACCGGAGGAAAATAGGCAGTAGGTTAAATTATAGTTTGTAAGTAATAAGACATGGACGGAATTTGCTCAGTGAGGAGTGACGAGATCGTACAAACATCTGGCCTCGTGGGGTCATGGTAGGAGATATCTGGCCTCGTGGGGTCTTGGTAGGAGATATCTGGCCTCGTGGGGTCATGGTAGGAGACATCTGGCTACTTGGGGTCATGGTAGGATATATCTGGCCTCTTGGGGTCATGGTAGGAGATATCTGGCCTCTTGGGGTCATGGTAGGAGATATCTGGCCTCTTGGGGTCATGGTAGGAGACATCTGGCCTCTTGGGGTCATGGTAGGAGAAATCTGGCCTCGTGGAGGGTCATGGTAGGAGACATCTGGCCTCTTGGGGTCATGGTAGGAGATATCTGGCCTCGTGGGGTCATGGTAGGAGACATCTGGCCTCTTGGGGTCATGGTAGGAGAAATCTGGCCTCGTGGAGGGTCATGGTAGGAGATATCTGGCCTCTTGGGGTCATGGTAGGAGATATCTGGCCTCGTGGGGGGTCATGGTAGGAGACACCTGGCCTCTTGGGGTCATGGAAGGAGACATCTGGCCTCGTGGGGTCATGGTAGGAGATATCTGGCCTCTTGGGGTCATGGTAGGAGATATCTGGCCTCGTGGGGTCATGGTAGGAGACATCTGGCCTCGTGGGGTCATGGTTGGAAATAGCTGGCCTGCCTGCCCTGCCCCCCTGCACCTCCCCCCTTCTCTCTCTCCCCCTCTCTCTTTCTCTCTCTCTCTCTCTCTCTCTCTCTCTCTCTCTCTCTCTCTCTCTCTCTCTCTCTCTCTCTCTCTCTCTCTCTCTCTCTCTCTCTCTCTCTCTCTCTCTCTCTCTCTCTCAATTTCTCTCTCTCTCTCTCTCTCTCTCTCTCTCTCTCTCTCTCTCTCTCTCTCTCTCTCTCTCTCTCTCTCTCTTCATCTCTCTATCTCTGTCTATTTTTGTTTTGTTTTCAACGAAGACTAGGGTTCATTAGGGCTATCAAGTGAGGTACCTGGTGAAACTGCAAGCAAAAGCTGTTATTCTGTGCCGGAGCCTTCATGTGATCAATATACCTGATCTCCGTGTAACGACCTGTTGAGTGAACAAGTTCCAGTAGTGAGTCAGCCTAGGAATCATTCATCGCTGATGGAGTGATGTTTTTGAGAAAGGCAGTTCCTGCATGAGACTGTTAGCTGAGAGCCTTGTGCCACGGGTGGAAAGAACTGGTTGTCTACGAAGTTTAGCCGGATGCGGAACTTTGAGAATGTTGGCCTTAAACATCAATTTGCAAGCCATTGATTTGCAATGTGCAGTCTATCATCATCGCCTGAGTTTTCTCAGCTACAAGTGTGACCAGCCATCTTGCCAAGGTAGAAATCGATGAAAGTTTGTGATTGAAGAGTGTTGTAGCAGTTAGCATCTTCCTTTCCAAATGTAAAGGTTAGCGTGCAGTCATCAGCATAGGTTTGAGCTTCAGGAATGAGGTGAAATAGATCGATGAAGCATTCCACAGCAGAGGACCAAGCGCACGACCCTGTGGTACGCTGGCACCAATTGAGTGCTTTCGGATGTTGCTCCATTGAAGACTACTCTTAGAGTTCGTTCTTGAAGTTAATCCTTTATTAGCTTTAAGACGGAGCCTGAGGTTTTGAGAAGTGGTTGAAGCTTCGCTACTAATCCAGAGTGCCAGACCCCGATCAAAGGCTCCTGCTGTGTCTAGAGCAGCAACACAGCTGACCTTGGACTCCTCCAGTGACTGATGCCACTTAACGGAGAGATTTAGCAAGAGATCAGCAGCAGATCGGTATTTCCTAAACCATACTGTCGATCACATAGTAGTCGACGATGGTCAGAAAACGATATTTGCTGAGAGATTAATGTTTCGAGAACTTTACCAGAAATGGAGAGCAGTGAAACTGGTATCTAGTTACCATCCACTGGGCGGCTTTTCCTTTTGTGAACTGGGAACAACATCTGCCTTCTACCATTAGGAGGGCCACATTCCTTGAGGTAGGCAGAGTTGGAAGAGGCACGTGAGAGGTGGAGCCAACAGGTCAGCGCAGGTGGGTAATAGTCTTGGACTGACCTTATCTGGCCCCACAGCTTTATCTGTGTCGAACGTTTTAAGAAGATGGAGAACTTCAGCGTCCTTTACAACTACTTCAGTCATCTTAGAAGCAGTGCTTGGAACAAGGTGTGGAGGTTGACGCTCAGGCTCATGGACTTGAATCTTCGCAGCAAGATGGTTTACCAGTAGATTAGCCTTCTCCTGATTGCTGGTTGCTCTCTCTCTCTCTCTCTCTCTCTCTCTCTCTCTCTCTCTCTCTCTCTCTCTCTCTCTCTCTCTCTCTCTCTCTCTCTCTCTCTCTCTCTCTCTCTCTCTCTCCCCCCCCCTCCCTCCCTCCCTCCCTCCCTCCCCCCCCCCACTCCCACTTCTAGGGCATGTTTTCCAGCCAAGACAATCAATATGACCAAAATATGGCCAGGGTATACAAACACATTAATCCCTGGAGCAAGGTGTAATACATACACGTCCAGTGGTAAAATAGCTGCTGATAAAATATACATTTTCTCTTACCGTAAGTCTGGGCAGCTTGGCACAACATGCGTATCAACCTAAACTTACGCAAGTCTACCCTTCGCCCGCTGTGACACGCTAACGTAAATATTGCATTTCTCCGTCTTGAGGTTTGGAGAGATACATGTATCTTGGACACGTTGTTTGTGTGTTTGTCTCTGGGGCGAGGCGATAACCAGTTGGGTTATCGCTTGATAACTTTTTCTTTCATTGATTTCCTCTTGTCCTACTTTCTCTCAGCTTACAGAGGTTGTCCTTGTCTACCTTGTCTCTTCCTGTCATACCTTGTATGGTGTGTGTGTGTGTGTGTGTGTGTGTGTGTGTGTGTGTGTGTGTGTGTGTGTGTGTGTGTGTGTGTGTGTGTGTGTGTGTGTGTGTGTGTGTTTGTATGTGTGCATCTGAGGCAGGTGTCAGAGCCACAGGTGTGTGCGTCGAGCAGACAGATGCAGCTGTACACATGTGCCACTTCACGGGGGCACCCACATCACAATCATTCCTCGCGATTAGGTGCCACAGCCGACAAGCTCCTCCAGATTATCTGACAAGCACGTTGAGGCAGGTGGTCAGCCCTCAGCTGACAGCGTTGAGGCAGGTGGTCAGCCCTCAGCTGACAGCGTTGAGGCAGGTGGTCAGCCCTCAGCTGACACCGTTGAGGCAGGTGGTCAGCCCTCAGCTGACACCGTTGAGGCAGGTGGTCAGCCCTCAGCTGACACCGTTGAGGCAGGTAGTTAGCCCTCAGCTGACACCGTTGAGGCAGGTGGTCAGCCCTCAGCTGACAGCGTTGAGGCAGGTGGTCAGCCCTCAGCTGACACCGCCAGTTTTTAACCTTTAAAGACAAAACGTCTCGTTCCTCGCAATTTGCGACGCTTACACTGTCAGCGACTTCTCGCAGGTGAATACTAGAGCACCAGTAGAGTCCAAGTCCTTAGTCTGTCAGTGTCCAGGTACTGGCTTAGTCTGTCAGTGTCCAGGTACTGGCTTAGTCTGTCAGTGTACAGGTACTGGCTGAGTCTGTCAGTGTACAGGTACTGGCTTAGTCTGTCAGTGTACAGGTACTGACTTGGTCTGTCAGTGTACAGGTACTGACTTGGTCTATCAGTGTACAGGTACTGACTTGGTCTGTCAATATACACACACTGGCTTAGTCTGTCAGTGTCCAGGTACTGGCTTAGTCTGTCAGTGTACAGGTACTGGCTTAGTCTGTCAGTGTCCAGGTACTGGCTTAGTCTGTCAGTGTACAGGTACTGGCTTAGTCTGTCAGTGTACAGGTACTGGCTTAGTCTGTCAGTGTACAGGTACTGACTTGGTCTGTCAATATACACACACTGGCTTAGTCTGTCAGTGTACAGGTACTGGCTTAGTCTGTCAGTGTACAGGTACTGGCTTAGTCTGTTAGTGTACAGGTACTGACTTAGTCTGTCAGTGTACAGGTACTGACTTGGTTTGTCAATATACACACACTGGCTTAGTCTGTCAGTGTACAGGTACTGGCTTAGTCTGTCAGTGTACAGGTACTGGCTTAGTCTGTCAGTGTACAGGTACTGGCTTAGTCTGTCAGTGTACAGGTACTGGCTTAGTCTGTCAGTGTACAGGTACTGGCTTAGTCTGTCAGTGTACAGGTACTGGCTTAGTCTGTCAGTGTACAGGTACTGACTTGGTCTGTCAATATACACACACTGGCTTAGTCTGTCAGTGTACAGGTACTGGCTTAGTCTGTCAGTGTCCAGGTACTGGCTTAGTCTGTCAGTGTACAGGTACTGGCTTAGTCTGTCAGTGTACAGGTACTGACTTGGTCTGTCAATATACACACACTGGCTTAGTCTGTCAGTGTACAGGTACTGGCTTTGTCTGTCAGTGTCCAGGTACTGGCTTAGTCTGTCAGTGTCCAGGTACTGGCTTAGTCTGTCAGTGTCCAGGTACTGGCTTAGTCTGTCAGTGTACAGGTACTGGCTTAGTCTGTCAGTGTACAGGTACTGGCTTAGTCTGTCAGTGTACAGGTACTGGCTTAGTCTGTCAGTGTACAGGTACTGACTTGGTCTGTCAGTGTACAGGTACTGGCTTAGTCTGTCAGTGTACAGGTACTGGCTTAGTCTGTCAGTGTACAGGTACTGGCTTAGTCTGTCAGTGTACAGGTACTGGCTTAGTCTGTCAGTGTCCAGGTACTGGCTTAATCTGTCAGTGTCCAGGTACTGGCTTAGTCTGTCAGTGTACAGGTACTGGCTTAGTCTGTCAGTGTACAGGTACTGGCTTAGTCTGTCAGTGTCCAGACACTGGCTTAGTCTGTCAATATACAGACACTGGCTTAGTCTGTCAATATACAGACACTGGCTTTGTCAAAATATAAACACTAGCTAAAACTTTCAATATTCAGGCGACACAATATGCAAATAATCTGAATGTATTTGTATATATATATATACGAATATATATGAAAGTTCAGGTGTCACTATGAGTCCTCAGGTGTGCACAGGTGCTCACAGGTGCTCACAGGTGCTCACAGGTGCTCACAGGTGAACGAGTGGCACCAGCGGTTCCTGGTAAATGGCCTTCAAGCACTGAAATAGTGCATATGATTTGTAAATCTCAACCAGGTAGAGAGAGAGAGAGAGAGACAGACAGAGACAGACAGAGACAGAGAGAGAGAGAGAGAGAGACAGACAGACAGACAGACAGACAGACAGACAGACAGACAGACAGACAGACAGACAGACAGACAGACAGAGACAGAGAGAGAGAGAGAGACAGACAGAGACAGAGACAGACAGACAGACAGACAGACAGACAGACAGAGACAGAGACAGTGACAGACAGACAGACATATATTACAGTGAATTAGTAAATAGATCGTTTTCCATTGCAACCTCCACATATTACAAACACCAACAGATTTGTGTATCCAGAACCAAGGTGTCAAGAGTTCCCATCAAACACATTGATTAACACGCGAGTCGGAATTAAACTGATCAATATATATTATTTAATATTATTGTTAGTATGTTTTCAGGCATTTGGATCCTGGGAGATTCGAACTCAGGCCTCAAGAGTACGAGTCTGATGGTCTGACAACCCCACCATGGGTGCTTACCATAAGGAAGGATCGCGTTAAGCATCTTGATAAAATAATAATAAAAAGGTGCAAATTCGCCAACGTAACCAGAACGTTCGTTTAAGGGTTTTATGACGTTCGTTTAACGTTATTGCGACCTTTGTTTAACGTTTATTTAACGTTATTATGAAGTCAGAATAGTTGCAGTAACATTACGTCACTAGCTGGAGGAGGTTGAGTGACAACCTCAGCAGCTGGAGGAGGTTGAGTGACAACCTCAGCAGCTGGAGGAGGTTGAGTGACAACCTCAGCAGCTGGAGGAGGTTGAGTGACAACCTCAGCAGCTGGAGGAGGTTGAGTGACGACGACTGACCTCATCACAGTCGTTAAGGCTGTGCAACAACACTCCGCCTTGTTATTGGTGTATTAACGAGAGGGGAAGGGGAATTTCCCCTCATCCATGTCAAGGGTGATTAATATGGTCTTCTACAGACGCCCCGCTGATACTTCTCCTTGGTTACTTCCCTCATGTGACCCCTTTAGTCACCCCTCTAATGTGTCCCCTCAGTCACCCCTCTTATGTGTCCCCTCAGTCACCCCTCTTATGTGTCCCCTCAGTCACCCCTCTCATGTGTCCCCTCAGTCACCCCTCTTATGTGTCCCCTCAGTCACCCCTCTTATGTGTCCCCTCAGTCACCCCTCTAATGTGTTCCCTCAGTCACCCCTCTTATGTGTCCCCTCAGTCACCCCTCTAATGTGTCCCCTCAGTCACCCCTCTTATGTGTCCCCTCAGTCACCCCTCTTATGTGTCCCCTCAGTCACCCCTCTTATGTGTCCCCTCAGTCACCCCTCTAATGTGTCCCCTCAGTCACCCCTCTTATGTGTCCCCTCAGTTACCCCTCTTATGTGTCCCCTCAGTCACCCCTCTTATGTGTCCCCTCAGTCACCCCTCTCATGTGTCCCCTCAGTCACCCCTCTTATGTGTCCCCTCAGTCACCCCTCTTATGTGTCCCCTCAGTCACCCCTCTAATGTGTTCCCTCAGTCACCCCTCTTATGTGTCCCTCAGTCACCCCTCTAATGTGTCCCCTCAGTCACCCCTCTTATGTGTCCCCTCAGTCACCCCTCTTATGTGTCCCCTCAGTCACCCCTCTTATGTGTCCCCTCAGTCACCCCTCTTATGTGTCCCCTCAGTCACCCCTCTTATGTGTCCCCTCAGTCACCCCTCTAATGTGTCCCCTCAGTCACCCCTCTAATGTGTCCCCTCAGTCACCCCTCTTATGTGTCCCCTCAGTCACCCCTCTTATGTGTCCCCTCAGTCACCCCTCTTATGTGTCCCCTCAGTCACCCCTCTTATGTGTCCCCTCAGTCACCCCTCTAATGTGTCCCCTCAGTCACCCCTCTTATGTGTCCCCTCAGTCACCCCTCTAATGTGTCCCCTCAGTCACCCCTCGTATGTGTCCCCTCAGTCACCCCTCGTATGTGTCCCCTCAGTCACCCCTCTAATGTGTCCCCTCAGTCACCCCTCTTATGTGTCCCCTCAGTCAC